ATGCTGCAGAATAGTCATCAAGTGTCCAGCTTTGCATTCAGCTTTACTGGTTTTTGATTTGGTTTACCCAGTGCAGCAGATGGTACTGGGAAAACAATAAGTCTTTGCATCGACTTTCTCCAGCATTGACAATTGTTCTTTCTGGGGCATTTGAAGAACTTACCAGTCATAGATAGCCAGCATGAGATCTGCAAGTCCTGTATTGTGAAGACAAGAGGAAAAACTTCAGTCTGAAAATGTATAGAGTGTATTGAATGAGCAAAATGAGTGGATGTAGAGAATACTCATCAGAGTATATAATTTTGTTAGACAATGTGAGGATCTGTGATAAGCCAGACAGTAACATGTTTGCCTCAAAATGAGTTTATGCCCGGGTCTGGGTGTCTCTTTTGTTAGGATTCACAGGTCAATATTCAATTGAAACGATTGTGTGAGAGCAGAAAATGGGGCATGCTGGTTTGTAACAGAGAGGTAGTTGTGCATTGTAGAGAAAAATAAAGATTGTTTGGATTCGGAAAACTTGTGTCTATGTTGATAGAACAAATTTTCATTTTCTTGGAAGCCTAGGGAGACCAGATATTTTCTGACATGTTTTCTGTTATCTGAGCTGAACTCTGTGGTGTATATGTAAGATTGGAGATTACGGATAATTCTGCACTTGGACTGTATTGGGTAAAAACAGGAAAAAGCAGAACTCTGAATATAAGGGAAATGAGACCGCACACATGGTAGTTGCAAATGGTGCATCTGATTATCAGGTTTAATGTGTCATTAGGGTCTTGCTGACCTTTTCTGTCAATGCAAAACATGGGCAGATGTTAGTATTAAAAAGAGAGCAGAAGTGGATAGATGTGAGCAGGCTGGCTGCCAAAAGATCAGCTGACACTATGCTGACATCAAGTGCAATCTGGGGAGTCCTTCTTACCCAAACAAGCTTTCACATGCAGCAAATGTCAAATGCAGGAGCCACAGCAGTGTCTGTAAAATAGTCTCATATGGTCAGTACATCTTTGTTGCTATGAGATACACATTGTCCTTGTCTCGTTTGGGCTGATTTCTTTGATCTTAGTCTCTCAGTGTCTGTTGTTTCATCTGCTGAGAACAGACCATAAAGAGGAACTGGGCATTTGTCTTTTGCATTTTCACTGGATGTGCAGGAACTACTTCCCTCCGAGATCTGCATGCAGTGTGTTACAGGAAGATTCTCACTTCATGGTCTCTTCCCAGTGCTGGCTATGTAGCTTTAGGTTGTTAGAAATAGAAAATATATTTTACGTGGGTCATAGCTATAGCAATAACTTGAGGAGGTTGTCTCAGTGAACACATGTACTTGTGTGATGGAAATGGTTTCCCATAGCCTCTTAAAGGTTGCTTTGCTAACTGCTTTTTACAGGGGTGCAGGATGCTACCAAGACTTTGATGGATGATGTAGTGATGGTAAAAGTTAAACTGCTGCAGTGTGTCTTGCTATTTATCTTCAGAAACCTTCAGATAACTCTGAGGAGTAAGTGCATTCTCTTCCCTCCTCCCATACCTAATCATTAAAGCTCTGCTTTCATGTGTGGCTTCCTCTGTTCACTGTCTATGCAGGATAAAGATTCTTGTTCTGATGCTTTTCCCAGTAGGAGTCTTAATTTTCCTGAGAAGCAAACAGTGCTGTTGTCATAGCATATCAAAATACCCACGAAAGGTAATTAGCTGGAAGAAAGGAACCTACTACTGAGATGCACCAAAAGGGAAGTCTGATTGTTAGGTGAGCAAGGCACTGAAATCTAGTTTCTGAATTTAGCTTTGGTGTGGACATGTGTCAAGTCAGTTAGCTGTGTTTGTAAGATAATGCAAGAAATATTTATCTTCTCAACTTTTTGTCTATATGTATTTTAAACTACATACTCCTTCTGGAGTGGGTGTCTTCTGTTCTCATGTGTGCATAGTGCTCACCTCCATACATGGCTGCTTCCTTTCAACAGTAAAGAGAATGTGAGTCTGTTCAGGAAATTAGCTCTGTTTTTTGTTTTGAAAATGTGTGTCAGTGCTCCTCAAAAATTAGTATCTGAAATCCCAGCTTTCCACAGGGCTCAGGAAAAGAAGGCTACAAAACATTAGGATGCAGCAGAGAATGTAGCTGTTGGAAAGATGACTGGAAGGCTAGGATGGTGAGGGCAGAAGGAGGATACTGGCAGTGGTCCTCAGTCTGCTTCTCTTACTTTCTGCATTGGGAGCCACCTCTACCGTTGAAGGAAATGAATGCTTTTTGTATTTTTCCATTCCCTTCCCTCCCCAGGACATTATAAGCTAAGAAGAGGGTGGCTCAAGAATGAGAGTAGAGGTTGGTGTTCTCAATAATGACAATCTGGACGATGAGCTCTCACGAGAAACTAGTTTAATAAGAAATCTGACAGTCTGGAATAGGCTGTGGGAAACCATTTCCACCATTGCTGGATTAATGATGACTTCTAAAAAATTTCCAAACAAATTCCTAGAGACAGGAAGGTGATGAGGAGGAACAAGGTTCTTGAGTCTAGTACCATTTTGAATAGGTAGTATAGAAAAGCCTTTCCTATTTCCTAAAAGAGAAAAGGGAAAAACTATCTGTAGTCCTTAAGGAGTGTATAATAGTCTACACTGCCTCTTAAAGCAGAACCTCTTGCAGCAGTAGTTAGTTTAGAAAGCTGTACTAAATTTCTGTTCAAGATTTCATCCCACATCTGTGCACATTTACCTATGTTGGGGTAAGAAGCTTCAGATTTTCCCACTTTTTAACCCATGGTCCAAACCATTTCAACTGCAGAAGGTCCAGCGAAGAAGAGTGATCAAGTAGGCAACGGGAAACTGCTGCCTACAGCAGCTAAATCACTTCTGATTTGTAGATGGGGTCATTTGCAGGTAAGGCAAGTGTGTGCATTTTACCCAGCGTGTGTTCACTTTTGGTGTGTTTTATCACTTTGAGGCCTTTAACAGCTCTTTTCTTTGAGTCAGCTGTCATGCACATCTGTGCTCTTAAATGGACAGCAGCACAAAATTGAATGTAGATATACAACTGCATGCCATACATATTAAACCAGATAAACCCCACAGCTACACACACCTAAAAGGAAAAAAAACCCCATCCTCCAAATCCCCAGACATTTGAAGTATGATCCAATTTTGTCTTCAGTTTTGTCTTCTCTGGCTGTGTAACAGAGGCCTTTTGGACCAAGGCCTTGCTGTTAGTTTTCCTGTTTAAATTCTCAGGGGTCTTGGTTTGTTTTTTTGTTACTGCTCGGGTTTTTTTTGTGTGTGTTTGGGGTTTCTTTATCTGACATGCTGTGGTTTTTAGCATTCTACTGCCTATTCAAGCATTTAAAACACAAAAATAAAGCCTTGAAAGCTTGACAGGAGCAAAGACTCAGTGTTATTAGTGAATTGGGGAAAAGGATGGGATTCAACAGAAGATTTTCCAAGCGATAGAATGCTAGTGTTTTTAGGGGAAAGAGTTTAATTCAGTGTACCTTCACAGATACTAGCTATTCTTTATTCCCCTTGTTTATATTATCTCCACGAGCATGCTTCAAGAATTGTTTTGCTCAGCTTGATTCCTTCTCATCTCTTGATCCCTGCCAAGGCAGTGTTCTTGGCTGCTTTGAGATACATGGAGTAAACATTCGCCATCAATAGTATGAAGTTTGTTCAGTGGTTTTACCAACCAGATTCAGTACTAAAGAGTGCTGTGCACGTACTTGTATTGAGCTGGCATACTTTTCATGTGATTGGGCTTTGCAAAAGAAGTTCTTTAAAATGAAAGAAACCCCACAGGACCATGAAAGTCATGCTTTGATATTAGCCTTTGCATGAGAATTCTCAACACAAATCTGTTTATCTGGGTGATAGCCAACTGGATATTTGCTAAGTATGAGGAAAGATGTTCTGCTGTAAATGCTTTGACATAAACCAAGTGCTGTTTTTCCCAAACTGTCTGGGATGTTTATATGAATGACTGTTAATCAGGTCTTTGGATTTTAATGGCATCGTTCCTTGGGCCAGCAGCTTCTTTTGACAATACTTGCTTGATTCATCCCACCATAATTTTTTTCCATGTTAGTAGTAGTAGAGGGCTTCATCTACCTCTGTGGAAGTCTAGATCTGTTCAACACTGCAGCTGCTGTGCCTTTCAGAAATACATGTGATCAGTACAGCATAGCATATCAACACTGTCCATCGTTCAGTGCCTAACTTTGGCTTCGTGATGCCTGCTCTCAGGTTTTTGTGGTGGGGAGTCTGGCAGGCCTGTGAAATAGGTAATCAGAATGCTTCTTTGACTAGGTGATCAGTGCCTAGTGACATGCATAGCTGTGGGGGGAGGCTGCTGGAACTCAACCCTAAACTTGTTGTAGCTATTCTCTTTTCCTCTAGGCTCTTCTCCCTTCTAAATTGGTGTCAGGCACACAGGATTTCTGCTCACGTGCACCCCTTCCTACAGAGTTCTTCCTACAGTTCTTTCATCTCACTGCATTTGAGACTAAATTTGCCCTCTCCAGAGTACTTGATGAAATCAGAGACACTTTGCTATAAAGTTGTCACAATACATGGATATTGCCCAAACTCAATAATTTTGTTTTAGAATCTTTCCTGGGGTTTTTTAGTTCTTCTTTTAGTCTTGATGTGAGGTGTGAGCACACAAGTATCTTGTAATAGCACATCACCTCACATACCACAGGATTGACTTGGTTTGCAGAGCAAGCTTTTGCATTCATGATAAATATATTAGTGCTGAAGAAAGAAACAGAATTGCTATTCTGGGGGGAAAAAACCCCCACAAAGTCCAAACCAAACCTCCCCCCGCCTCCGGTTATGTAGAGGATGAAATCGAACTTGCTGTGAAAGAATAAGCTGGGGCAGTCTGTAGGCACACACGGATACACAGGCAGACAGCGAGTGCCTGTGCGACAGAAAGCAGGAGCAAGAGAGCGAGAGGGAGCCTTGAAACTTAAACTCCTCCTGCAGCTCTGCATCTGCTCTGAGTCACTGGTATGACTCACACTGACAGTGTTCACGTTAGCTAGCGTTCAGATGGAGCAGCTCTGGCAACAGAAGAAGCAGGTTATATTATTGATTACCTGCTGCAGCAGACAGTTGCACCAAGATTTTTTTTTACGAGCGCAGATGAAAGGCAGGAGGCTCTGCTGAGCACCATTATTATTACTGTTGTTTTCATAAGGTAAGAATTCCTGTTTATTTACTAGAAAAATACATAGAAGGGAATTTGGAGCCTGTGAAGTCTGAATTTCTGCTGCTGTTATTCTCAGAGGATGCTGATCGTCGGAGCTGCGTTGCTGCAAAGCTTTGTCTCGACTGTTTGCTGTGCCATATGGAGAATCATATGGCTAATAGGCAGCGTGAGTCCTGGGAAACAAAATAACTATATTCTCATTCATTGATGTTATGTAAGGCATGGCAGCCATGTTACGGACAGAAGACCTCTCTTGAAGAAACAGTGCTGCTAGATGGTAGGGCAAGGGAAACAAGTAGTTTTTAAGCAGCTCTCTGTTCTTTGGAGAGCGCTGCAGTTCTCTAGTTCTTGCTTAAAGCTGCATTTGCTGACTTCTGAATTTCTGTGTCACTAGAATAAAAATAAGTGGCATTACAAGTAGCCAAAGAATTGTTTACCTTTAGAATCACAGTGTTGTTTTGCCTTCAGCAGTCAGGCTGAGACTGTGCATGTGATCCATGCAGTGCCTGGATGTAAACAGTTTCTTCGAATACTGTAAATGATGCTTCCAGATATTGAGGTAGTTTTCATCTTGTACCACTAAAAGCCCATATATCTATCTATATATACACACACACACACATATATGTCCTGTTCTTATAATTAGTTATATGCAAAAAGTGGGACATATTCTAGTTTTCTAGTTCGTGTTGACATATGCAGAGTGGGTATAACATTTGTTTTTTTAGTGGCCTTACTGCTATTTTATTCACTCTGATGCTGTAATTTGAATGTAGTTTTGACTGGTGTTGCTTATTATCCTCATGTAGAGTTCACTGAGTCTTGAGCCTTTGCTATATTCTCCACAACAGATTTTATAAGTTAGGGATTCTGTTTTTGAACTGCAATAGTGGATTTATCTTAATTTCTTTTTTCTTTCCTTTTTTTAGTCCCTCCCCGCTGCCCCCCCCCCCCCCCATTTATTTTGGATTTGGAAGGCAGTGTCCTTTCAAAGTGCATGTTACAGTGAGCTTGGCAGCTGCTTTTAGTAACAAGGGAGCCTGTTCTCTTGTGTGTTATTTTCAGAATGAGAAAATGAGGGTATTTTCAAAACCCACTCATTTGCTAGCTTGCTTTCAGGTACTTGAAACTATCACTCATTTCCTTATAGAATTTACATAAAAATGACCACTGACTTCTCATCTCAAAAAAAAATGGTGCTGCAGTAAGGGCATTTAAAAATGACAGCATGCTTTAGATTCTTCTGTTTGCTAATTTATAGCATTTGCTGACACAAGGTGTTTTCATTGCTATGATTAACTAGATTTGGTGTTACTTTCTCTTTTAAAATACATTACGTTTCTTAATAAAATGTAAAGTAAGGTTTGTTAGTGTATTTGTGGTATCTTTATACTTCTTGTGACATCCAACTTGGAAAACTATAGTGTGAGAGAAGCTTTTCAAACAATGGCACTCGGGGGCACTCATCCCCCAGAGCAACATTTTGGTGACTAGTTTTAATTATTTATGTTTCTGATATAAAATATTTCTCATGTTACGGAATTATAAATGCAAGCTAGTTTTCACAACATTAGGGTTGATTTTGGGATTGTTCACTAACAAACTTCTGGCACATGACAGTCTTTCCTTCCCCTACCAAATCTAAACAAGTAGAAATAAAACAGTCTTTGCAGTCTTAATTTTTCCACTGATTTGTATCTGAATTATTGTTTTCTAAGATTCTGTTGGAATTGTGTTTGCCTTCATGATTGCCTTTAAGCATATATGAATTTACAATACGAGTCCTGTATTATGTCAAAAGAGAAGAAATCATTTATTTTAATAAAACTCAATTATATTCATTTAAGTTTATGTAATTTCTTTATTAATGCATTGTGGGTGCAGTTAAATAATTAACAGTTCATGTTTTAAAAAGACATTTGAAGAACATGCTTAACATCCAAAAAGCAGGATGACAGCCCCTGAGTCAACACAACCCTGAAGACATCCTCTCCCTCCTACTTGTCCATTAACTCTTTGTGCAAGAGCTGCCTGCCACAGAGAACTCCCTCTGATTCATGTTGTTCTCATGCTGCCTGCTATGTCCCTCTGTCTGCCTCTGGAATGCCATTAAGTGGAAAAGAATGTCAGATGAAAGAAGAACACCAGCCAAAAAAAAAAGAACAAAAAGTCCAGTCTTGCAAGATAGCTAGACAAGTTGGAGAGCTTCTGGGAAGAGCTAAGGCAATTTTAGTAGTGATTGTTGAGTTACTATCTCAATAATTATATACCGTCCTTGGGATATATTAACAAGTTACAACTGAAAACATAAATATCCAAGGTAGGAGAGATTTGTGCAAGGAAGTGATCATATCTACCTTAAGTGCAAAGAAACCAGATATATTTGATCCTTCTGTGCTGGGACTTTATAGCAAGTATAACAGGTCTTGTCAAAGCCTGCCCTCTAGGCACTCTGAAAGTTAGTTTTTGTTACCTTAGGGTGGCTTTGCATCAGGCTGCAAAGGTAACAAGTGCCAGCAGCTCTGGGGATTATTTCATGGGTACTTTTGACAGGACTTGAACTGTGAGAGTTGATGATCTCCTTGGCCTTTCTTTTCTGGGAAGCCAAGCAGAAGATCCCAGCTTACTGTTCTCCACTTCTGTTCCTTTCCTGTGGGATACCATGGCTGTTTTTCTCATCTCTGCATGGCTCTACAGAGCCATGTTTTGTTATCTCTGCCCTCGCTAAAGGTTTTTGGAACTTCCTGCCGAAATTTAGGCTCCCTTTTTGATTCTCACTTAAGGTGCTCTGATGTAACCTGTTTAATAATTCTCTCCCCTTGGTAGTTTTTCCACGTAGGCAAGCCTTAAATGATGCAAAGCTCATGTAATTTAGCTCTTCCCTTTTGCCTTTGTGCTGCTTGTGTCACAAACAACAAAGTGGGGTGTTCAGCTGTCCTTTGTTTTTTTCCTTTGTAAAACCTGGTGCTTTTTTTTCTGTGGCTTATTTTGTGACCATGCCCTAACTTTGTTATTCTGAGCCCCTTTGTCAGCCTTCCTGGCACTTGGGAAGCAATGCTGCTGGATTAACTCTGATCTCTTATATGTTCTGCTTTCTCAGTCCTTGAACAGAAGTTTCAAAACGGACAGTGGCATCGTCCTTGGGCATGTTGTTCTACCTCTCCTTGCCGTAACAGGCGGAAATGACTCTGCAGGAAACACAGCTGTTGCTGTGGGTAGAAAGTGGAGAAATGAGGGGCATTCGGAAAATAAATAAAGCATTTCTACAAAATTCTTGAAGCTCTGAAACCTCTAATGAGGGGAAAAAACACTTACTCTCTTCTTTTACACAAAAGCAACTTCAGCAATGATTTATAACTAGCCTTGCTAAATGGCTGGTGTAGAACTTAGGGGAAATCCAATCTTGTAATTGAAATGAACTTTTGTGAGTCATCTTTAATGTGGTTGATTTTTTTAATTGTATTACAGTTTAGCCTAATGATCAACCCAAACGGTACCACTGCTGTGTTAAATGCTCTGTTTTACACAGATAAAAAAGGACACTGCAGTATATGGAAAAACAGCAGTATATTAGTGTTTGTGTAGTACATCCTTGTTACAGAATAGAACAGAACAGCATTTCTGTTTTCAAATTGGAATTTGAAGTGGAGGGAGGGAAGAAGTTTGTATGAGTTGATTCTTTTTTCGAGTTTTTGTTTCTTTTTTTGCATGTTAGAAATAAGCCCATGTAAACTGAAGTAATACTGGAATAAAATCCTTGCACATGAGCAGTATGAATAGCACTGTTTGCAATTCTGAACCATCTTGTTTGTTGGAGAACTCTTTTTTATTTGAATAATTTTTAGAGATGACAATTGTTACCTCAGTTATTTTTGGGATCTTATGAATGTGTATGTGTCTAGAGGGCATCCCTTTGGTCCCTCTTCCTGTTCTATGAAGAACAGGAATCTTGTTTAGGTTAGATTTGTTAGCTGGTTTTAAAGACGAGGGGGAAAGAACTGTTAAATCCTTGTTTCTAATGTGTCCTGAAAAGCTCTTTATCCTGGAGCAGTTCAAGCGGGGGGATGCAGAGAAGCGGTGAACACGTTCTGTTTGCCCTGGAAGGCCCAAACTGTTAGAGGGGCTCTCACCTCATTGCATTGCATGAGCTTTTGTACCACACAGAAAAAGTCACAGTCTCAATTTTTGTCTGCTGAGACCTCTGTGTATTAAGCATGTGCTAGTTTAAATAAAGAGTGAAGGGTACAGCCTATACTCTGAATATAGCAATGATGGTCCTTTCATTTGCCTTCAGGGTCTGAGCTTCCGCTTGACTAGTCCTTCATGACTGTGGTCTCCCTGCCCTGCTCTGGAGTCAGAGCCAGTGTAAGGATTAGAATAGTTCATTTTGCTCTGGTTAAATGAGATTATAGACAGGGTTATGATGATATGTTATTTCTGTGCAAAATTCTCCTGGTATTTTATAGGGACCCAAATACCTGGGATTAGCTCAGTTTTCATTTCAGTTTGTTGCTTTGCCTTTTAAAGCAGCAGACTACCTCTGATTCTACTGTATTGAATTAAATACATGGCAGTGAATTGGTAGGTTTGATATCTCACATAACTGTAATTTGACCTTCTGTGCTCAGGTGAAACACAGTTTAAAAGAAGCAGGTTCATGATCCTTAATTCAAATTTACTTCTTAGATAAATAGTTGCTAGTGCCAGATGGCAAAGCAGCTACAGGCAGAAGTGAATAACAGAGCATGTTTATTTCTGCAGGTTATTTGGGCAGCAAATCTGCTTTAAAAATGAAAAAAAAAAAAAAAAAAGAAGAAGACAGCACTGCAAGGTTAGGGATTGTACTAAAAAGCCAATAATTTCATCAAGTTTCCTGTGTGTGCTGGGTGAATGTATTATAAGTCCTAGATTCATAAAATAGAAACTGCTGTAAAAGATTTCTTCTGTCTCATTTCAGAAATAGACGCTAATAGTCTGACTTCAAAGCA